AAAGAGGGGAAGAAGAGAAGGGAGGGGGGGAAGAAAGAGAGAAGATGGGTGAAAACACCCCAACCGGGACCCAATGATACCTCTTTATGTCCAGAAGGGGTATAAAGAGGTAAAATTGTTTCCACCACCCAGATACCATAGTCCAGAGACTAAGCCATTGAGGCTGGCCCAAACCCAAGGAACAGTTATCTCAGAAGAGAGACTGTTCCAGCACCCCAAGGACCTAATCTGGACCCAGCTCAAACTTTAGTTATCCAGAAATTGGATATCTACTATTTGAACTGTTTCCAAGTCAGTCCAGGACCTGAAGTTAATCCTTCAGCCCACACAGGGTCAAAGGGTTAACTTCATTTCCACCACCCCAAGCAGTCAGGCAATGATCAACCACTCCTCAAACACAGAGTTATCATTGGAGGTGAGGGAAAAATCACAAAGTTTAGAACCAAGGTATCCTCAGAAAAGACTTTACCTTGGTTCTAAGGGAACCCAAACAAAGTAGTATCACCAGAGGCTGGTCACAAGCAGAACAATCAAAGGATTAGGGGTTCCTGGGGGTACAATCTCTGCATCACCTTATATACACCCACTTTGATTTTGTAAATGATAGTATCAGTGTTGAATCCTTCATGGTCAAAGTAGCATCCATTTCTGTTTCTCCAGATGGTATAGACAGTGCACATGATTGCCAGCCTCCACATTTTCCTCTTAGCACAATGACTATGTCTCTGTCTTCCTACCCATTCAATGGCTCTCTCAAGTGTGGATAAGGCTGGTGCAATATTAAGCCAGTTTCTAATGGCTCCCCAAATGAGAGCAGTATTCTCACAAAGGAAGAAAAGGTGCTGGGCAGTTTCCTCCTCAGTATGGCAGAACTCACAATTCCTATTATCCAGCTGTAGGAAATGGAGATTCATTTTTGTAGGAAGTCTTCCTCGTAGGGTAAGCCAAACAGTGAAGGAATATCTAGGAGGGATATAAGGCTTCCAAGTTGCTTTCATCCAAGGTCTAATGTTTCCCTTGGACCTCAAAAGATCATAGACCTTGGTGGCTTTAATGTCCCCCATGTCTCACAAATTGTCTTCAATCATGAATCTATCACCACACTTCTGCAAAAGAGAGTCCCTAATCTCAGCAATCTTCTTGAAGAAGTGTGAATCCTTTTTGCTAGGATTCCAGGTCCAAAAATCACTGCCCTGGAGGTAAACAGAATGCACCCATTGTATCCATAAGGTTTCCTTATTTGCTGCAATGTTCCAGAAGCACTTAGCCAGTAGTACTTGGTTCCAAATGGTTGAGTTTCTGAGTCCCAAACCCCCTTCATCTTTGGGTTTACAGATGTCATCCCAGGCCACTTTACAGAATTTACTTCCCCAGAAGAAAGCTCTGCAGAGGGTAGTGATTCTATCCAAAACAGATTTGTGAATGGGGAAAGCCTGAAACCAGAAACCCTCAATTCCTTGAATCACACTTCTGATCAATTCCAGTATGCCAGCAGAAGATAGAGACTTAGTGTTCCATTTCCTGATATTCTCATCCACTTTGGCAATAAGGGGGGCAAAGTCTCTTTCTGAAGCTCTTTCAGAAGTCAAAGGGAGTCCCAAGTATCTGACAGGAAGTTTCCCCTCAGGGAAGGAAACCTAGGACAAGAGGTCAGACTTGCTGTCCTTAATTTCTCCAGCCAAAAAGATGTTGGATTTGAGGGGATTAACATAAAGGCCAGATACTTGAGAGAAATTCTGAATAGTGTTGGCCAGGACAGTAACAGAATCCTTGTCCCCCCTGCAAAACATCATCACATCATCAGCAAAAGTAATATGAGTAATACCAAGTTTAGAGCATCTGTGGTGATGAGTGAATCTGCTCCTATACAGCATCCTCCTGATCAACCTTGAGAAGTACTCCATACAGAATAAGAACAAAGTGGGTGCCATTGGGTCACCCTGCCTGATGCCCCTTTTACATTTGATGAAGCCATGCACACCTCCATTGATAGAAAGGGAGAAGGAAGCAGTTGTAACACACTCCATCACCCAACCCACAAATTTGGGAGGAAATCCAAGTCCTTGCATTGTATTCTCCAAGAAAGCCCATGAAATAGTGTCATAGGCTTTAGAAATATCAACTTTGAGCATGCAACAAGGAGGGGATCTCTTCCTAGCATATCCTCTAACCAAATGTTGAGCCAAAAGAATATTATCCACCATGCTTCTGCCCTTGATAAAAGCTGCCTGTGCAGGATTAATAAGATCAGGGAGGATGGGAGCCATCCTATTAGACAGGATCTTTGTGATAACTTTATAAACCACATTTGAACATGCAATTGGTCTATAATCTTTGGCAGTGGGGTTCTCCTTAACCTTGGGAATTAGAACCACAGTTGCATGGTTAATTTGCTTGAGAAGTCTTCCACTAGTAAAGAACTCAGACACAGCCTCAAAAAGGCTATTTCCAACAATATCCCATTTCTGTTTAAAGAAAGCAGCAGTGTAGCCATCAGGTCCAGGTGATTTCTCATTCCCAATGCTGAACAGTGCTTCTTTAACCTCAGATCTGTCAACAAGCTTGATCAAATTTTGGATTTCATGATGTGGCACAAGGAGGGCCTCCCTAAAAACATTCCTGTCAATGGGGGTTGTGGGCACTGTGTTACCAAAAATGTTGCTATAGTGGTCAATAAATTCCTCAACAATAGTTTCAGAAGATGTTGTGGTAGAACCTTGGCTTGTGATAATGAAGGGGATGGAACTCAGCACCTTCTACTTCTTCATCATAGCATGGAAGAACTTGGGGCATTTGTCACCCTCATTGATAAAAGTGCATTTCACCTTCTGTAAGAAAAAGGATCTCTCAGCATCACTGTAAAAGGTTGCCTTTTTCCTAAGGCTGGTAGCTTGTTCAATGAGGGCTGAGTTATGTGGATCAGTCATAAGCCTGGTCATCATTTCTGAGTAGGAGCTTCTTGCATTCTCAGCTCTGGTAGAGATGTGACCAAACTCCTTCTTATTGAGTTGTTTCAAAGGGTGTTTCAACAATTTGAGTTTCCTGCATAATCTGAATTGTCTAGTGCCAGTGATTCTAGTATCCCAAATCTGTCTAACCACACTGTCAAAAAGATCATGTTGCATCCACATATTAAAAAACATGAAGGGTTTTGGTCCGAGATTAGTGTTGTGAATAAGGTTCAAGACCACAGGGCAGTGATCCGATTGGAATTCCATGGGTTTAAAGTCAGCCCAGCAGTCCCAATGAAGGAGATCCCATTCACAGTTAACCAAGACCCTGTCAAGCTTAGCCCACTTACTTCCTCTGTAACGCCCTACAACCCGGTCTATTAGAATTGATTATTTTAAATAATTAATTACTGTTCCGGTCCAGAGTTGGGGAAAATAAAAAAAAGTTCTTAGAAAAATTATTTGAACACGTCATTAAATTTGTTTTGACTGTCTGATTCCAAAAACGTAAACGGTTTTCAATTTGGACCCATTCAGGGGAAAAAGCGCGTACCATTTAGGTCAGATTTTACACCACAGAGTAGAGTTTAGGGAGATAACTCCCCATTTAATTCCTTCAAGAAACTCACGCCACTACACCTTCCCTCACGATCCATTTTCCACATTTTAATTCACCATTAACACTCATTACTCCATCATCAATAT